CCGCTTTCCCTGGGCTATCTGGCGCCTACCTCATTTCCCTGTCAAGATTTCCACCCTATATCAGGTGCTTTTCTGGTCCTCGTGACAAAATACCTAACAGGGGTGACTTAACAGAAAAGAGGTTTCGTCTGGGTCACAGACACAGCGTCTATCACAGGGGGTCACAGTCACAGTGTCCATCACAAGGGGCTCACAGTCACGGTGTCCATCACAAGGGGCTCACAGTCACGGTGTCCATCACAAGGGGCTCACAGTCACGGTGTCCATCACAAAGGGCAGTGTGAAAGTTGGGATATCCACGATGTGAGGTGACAGGTTATTATTATTATTATTATTATTTATACAATATTCTGTCTGTGTGTATGTCTGCAGGCCAGAAGAGGGCACCAGACCTCAGACCTCATTACAGATGGTTGTGAGCCACCATGTGGTTGCCGGGAATTGAACTCAGGACGTTTGGAAGAGCAGGCAATGCTCTTAACCTCTGAGCCATCTCTCCAGCCCGAGGTGACAGTTTTTAAAAATTTATTTTTATTTTATGTCCATTTGTGTTTCCCTTACCTGTGTGAAGGTGCCAGATCCCTTGGAACTCAAGTTACAGTCGTGAGCTGCCATGTGGTGCTGAGAATTGAACCTGGGACCTCTGGAAAAGCAGTCAGTGTTTTTAACTGGCAAGCCATCTCTCCAGCCAGTTTCTCATATCTTGATGGTAGGCTGGACTCAGGGTGGTTTATCTTCAAGGCCTGTCGCTGGTGACCTGTCTACCCCCCATCCTAAAGATCCCATAACCTCCCAAACCAGTGTCACCAGCTGAGCACCAGGCATTCACACATGTGGCCTGTAGGGGAAATTTAGAATCCAAAGCATAACGTATCCCTGAATCACGAGGGTTGGAAAAAGGCAGAGGTCCAGCATCCAGGACTTCCTGCGGCTGAGGTTGAGAGTAGAAATCTCTGGCTTTCTTACCCGTAGGATCGGAGGTGCAGAGGTGGTGACTCTGGAGTTGAAATGACTGGCAACCTTGCCAGGCTGCCATTCTAGGGTGTAGGATAGTGAGTTTGAGGCCAGCCTGGGCTACACAGGAAGACTATTTCTCAAAAACAAAAACAAAAAGCACCCCACATATTTTTATAACAAGGTAAATACCAGGGTAAGGAGAGTAATTAATGCCTTTTGGACTGTACTGGCAGGTGAATTCTCATTTCCTTAGGTATGAAGCCATTTAGCCTGGTCATAATCTTTCCATATCTTCTGTAGCTTGTCCTGCAGGGTTAATACAAGTGCCACAGAAATCACGGACAACCATGTAGACTCACCCTCTCTGCGTGCCCCACCCCATCTGGCTAAGAGCTAGCTCAGGACAAGGCAGGATATAATACGACCTTAGCCAAAGAGTCAGGGGACAGTTTTCAGTGGCCGGCTGTTCTAGTCTCATTCTGCTGCTGTGATAAAACTGACCAAAAGTGACTCGGGAGGAAAGGGATTCTCAGCATACAGGTTTCAGTCTGTTATTGAGGGAAGCCGGGGCAGAAACCCACGCAGAGAACCCACGGAGCAATGCTGCCTGCTGGTTTGCTAGTTTCCTTATGCAGCCTAGGATCTCCTGCCCAGAGAATGGCACCATCTGTGGTGGAATGAGTCTTTCTACATTAATAAACAATGCCTCCCACAACAATACATGCCCACAGGCCAACCTAATGGGGAAATCCTTCAACTGTGACCCTCTTCTCAGGTCTGTCAAGTTAACAGTTAAATTAATTGGGACACTGGATGTATACAGTCTTTCCAGGGATCCCCTGGCCCCAAGCCTGAGATTTTACCAAGGATTGGAGTTCTAGCAGAATTTTCTTCTGTCCTTTGTCTTGATAGAATCGGCAATTGTCTTTTGGTTCCAAAGTATAGGCTCAGGCACCATGCGTGATAGCACACACCTTTGATGGCAGCACTCAGGAGGCAGACAGGTGGATCTTTGTGTATTCAAGGCCAGGGTGGCCTACATAACAAGTTCCAGGCCAGACAGGGTTACATAGAGAGACCCTGTCTCAGAAACAGAAACAAAAGGCTTAACTATGAAAGAGAGACCCGGCACTAACCTATGAGAAATATAACCGTGGAAAGCCAGGCAGGAGTCAGCAGCATCATTGGAGATCCACGGGAGCCAACCCACAGGGCCATCTGCTAACAGTGGCACCATGTGGCAGTGAGAAGTCACAGCAGGCTAAACCTCTAACTCTGCTTGCTGAACTAGGGAGCCAGTGACATCGTCCCTTTTTGATTCATGTGCCTTAGGGTTCCTGGGTGGCCTTGGCAGATGCAAACTGATGCTGATGAGCAGCTGATCCAAGGCATTAAGTCAGCTGAGGACCCTGGATTAGGATGCTCTGTGTCTTAGACCTGATCCTTTGCTCACCTTGAGAAGATAAAACCGTAGGAGACTCACAGGGTAAGGAGTAAAAGCTACCAAACTCAGTGTGGAAACTGCATTGAGAAGGCCTTTGGGGGAATACTTCCTTGGTCCTGAGTTAGACTTTCTTTGAACAAACCACACCTTTCTGGTCATAGGAAATGTGTTTTCAGTTAAGACATGGGTCCCCAAAGGCCCATGTCTTTGTTTTGGGGTTTTTGGTTTTTGGTTTGCTTTTTTGTTTTGTTTTGGTTTTTTTTTATTGTTGTTGTTGTTGTTTTGAGACAGGTTTCTCTGTGAGACAGTTCTAACTGTCCTGGAACTCACTCTGTAGACCAGGATGGCCTCGTGGAGATCCGCCTGCCTCTGACTCCCAAGTGCTGGGATTAAAGGCGTGTGCCACCACTGCCCGACTAAGGTCCATGTCTTAAGGGTCCCAAGACCATGGACTATTGGGAGGCAATGAAACAAGATGGTATCTCATGAAAGGTCCTGAGGGGGTCCTAGAACCCTGGCCCTTAGTGGTTTCTTTTTGCTCTTCCTGCTTCCACCATGATGCATTGCCTCAAAACAGGACTAAAGGTCAAAAACTTCGAAACACTATCATGGGAATCTATCTTTCTTGCAGGCTGAAATACCTGACATTTGCCATGGGGATAAAAAGTGAGCACACCTCTCAGAGATTATAAACTTGTAGAGGGCAGGGACAGTGCTGTTTACCACCATGCCTCTGTTGCTTTGAAACTAATGGGTTATCTTTATAGCAAATCTCCAAACACAGATTCATGGTTGTCAAGGAAGAAGGGGAGACAACTTTGGTGTCTGGTGCTGTACCGTTTCGAGCTAATATCCACAAGGTGGAAACTGGGTATGCTTTGGTTTTGAGATCAAGACAAACAGATTGCATTGCTTGCCCCAGACTGGCTCTTTATGTTAGTAAGCAGAAGCGATCCTCAAAGTTCTGAACTGCAACCATTTGGCTTAGCGTAAAAGCTTTCAACTGTGACACAAAGGAAGCATAAACCCAGACGGCACAAACTCATTTCATTTTTATCACAGCTAACATCTCAGTAAACAGTTCCTGACGGCCCTGGAGGAGGGGCCTGACTTGACACTCCTCAAACGTTCACCAAAGTGGACATACTCCTTCCAAAGACAGTGCAGAAAGCTGAACTGTTAGGGCATGTGGTGAACACTGTTACAGAGGATTGGGGGGTGCGGCTGGGCCGAGACATCTGCCGTGGGGTTCTGTACCTCTGTCCCACAGGACTTGTTTGCAGAAGATGAAAAGAGGCAATCTTTTGTGGAGATGGACAGCAGATGTGGGGCTCGGCCTTTTACAAGAAAGAATTCAGAGTGCACCCTTGCCCTACCGGACCAGCTCCATGGAGTAGTCTACCTTCTACCTTAAAGCCTCCCCACTCTCCAAAGTCAGGGAGTGCTGATATATACTTGCAATCCCAGCACTCAGGAGGCTGAGGCTGGAACATCACAAGTCTGAGGCCATCCTGTGCTGCATAGTGAGTCCTAGGTTTTTTGTTTCGTTATAAACTAGCTCAGCTACTTCTCTGACCCAATGTGAAGTTGCAGAGGGTTCCTGGGGTGAAGCTTTATCAGCCAGCACCCTTTACGCTGTCACCGGGTACAGTGCAGCGTAGGGGGATGTGGACATCCTGCCCATTTATCTACTACCTACTCCTACGGAGTCTTAGCCCTGAACTACAAAAGAAGCCCCTGGTTAGTCATCAGGCAGCCCTGAGCAATGGATTCCAGGGTATTTCTGATGATCTTTCTCGTTTGCTGTTTGAGGAATGGACCGTGGAAATGAGGGGCAAGGGCGGGGCCTTCTGTGTGCTCAAGAGTAGACAGTTGAATACAGTAAGGAGTGAGAGGCTCTTTGCCAGCAGGAACAATCAAACTGAAATTTCTAGAAACTGGAATAAGCTCAAAGAGAAAGGCAAGCCCCAGTGAACTGGTGGAAGCCACATGGGGCCCTGAAACCCTGTGGAGGGGACAGGAGAAGACAGGAATGCCGCCTCACATCCTGTCTCTTCCTCCCTCCTTGGCCTACTCTTTCCTCCCTGTGAAGTCTCACTCAGGCAAAGAGCAGCTTCTGCTCAGGAGAGATGTGAGTTGCGCGCTTCTGCCTATATGTCGGTGAACGGGCGCTTCTGCCTATATGTCGGTGAACGGGTGCTTCTGCCTATATGTCGGTGAACGGGTCTTCCTTGTCTTTGTTCTGCTCTCTCTGCCTGGAGGCCCGTTTCCTCCCGTTTCTTTTGCAGGGCTGGTAGTTCACAAACAGTGCTACAGTGATCACAGCCGTGCCAAGGGTGAGAGTGATGATGATGAAGATGGTGGGGGAGGTGATCCCTTCATGTGGTCCTGTGTGGGCACAGAAAACAGAACTGGGGACAGTGGGCTGAAGACAAGAAAACCATTCCACCCCAAGACACCAAGCCTGCTCCTCAGACACATGTTCTCCAGCCTAGGAGTGTCTTGCTTCCCTCTACACTTGTGAGATTCTCAAATCTGGGCAGCAGGGCGGGGCGGGGTAGGGGGGGCTTTCTACCCCAAGACCCGGCAGCTGGTGCAGCAGGTACCTTGGACAATGACAGCAATCTCTTTGCTGATAGAGCCCAGCTGGTTAGTGGCTGTGCAGCAGTAGGTTCCAGTGAGGTTCTGGGTGGCCTTCTGGGGTACATCAAGGTCAATGATGATCCCATTCCATGTACACACCAAAGCTGGGGCAGGGTTGCCCTCTGGGATGCAGGCAAGCATTTGATCCATTCCTTCTACCCATATCTGGTTGCCAGGGCAATCGGATTCCCCAAAGCGAGGCTTGTCTGCAAGAGAGCCCCAAAAGGAACCTAGTTGTATGTCCTGTTCCTGTCTTGCTTCCATTCATAGCCCCTTTTCCCTCTCTACCTCAAACATTGCTCCCTCACCCCAAGGAAAATATTATCAGCTCCCTGCTTAGAACGAAACCCACTCTATTTTCTTCCCTTCCCTGTGGCCAAGATTATTTTTATGAACTCAGGCTAAGTAACATGGTTCTGTTTGTGAGGCCCAGGGCTTCTCAATGTGCAAGGAGTGGACTCAGAAATAAGGATTTCCTCATTTTCCAAAACACAAATTGTGATTTGGAACGTTTGGAGGCTTCTCTCCTTAGCATCAGCCTCAGCTGTCTCCTTTGATGCTGCCTCCCGGTACTGGCTCTCAGCTAACTGTATCTGACCACCACTTGCCTTTCTGGGCACATTCCCCATCTGTCCCCACTCGCTTTCCCATGTCCATGTCCGTGCCTCATCGAGGACCATCGGGCCTCCACTCACAGAAGACATGAAGCTGCATCTCAGTGGTTTTGAACAGGCGCTGGCCCTGCACCTCCAAAGAGGCCTCACAGGAGAGATTCCGGCCATCGTCTTCCTCCCTGGCAGTAAAGAGGAACCAGGCAGGCTCGCCGGGAGCAGAGAGGTTTGGGGCTCCCTGAAGTCGAAGAGTAGGGCTAGGTGATGTTAACACATGACCCGAGCAGGTGACGTTAACATCTGTCCCTGCCAGAGGGTAAGCATCTTCGATCTCCAGAACTGGGGGAGGGAAACCTACAAAGAAAGGAAACGGAACAGTGGACAAATTTTCAAACTGGTGGCTGCTCCTGCCTTCTTGTTGCTGGAGGTCTCCCTGGGGTAGACAATGACAGAAGAGCGACTTTGCATAGCATTAATGTTTCTGTGAAGGCTGAAGAGAGGGACCAACAAGATGGCTGGAGAATTGAGAGCTTCCCTTCCAACATCTGCCCACATTGGGCTCTGCCTCTCCTGCAAGGACAGCAAGATGTCTTCTCATTGTACAGGTTTCTTACTCATCTCAAATGCTTATTCTAGAATGAAGTTCAAGCATCCACAATTGCCCAATAAGCAGGATAGGTTAGGAAACTGAGGACAGAGGCCACATAGAGCTACTGCCACAATGCAGGTCCCTAACCACCCCCGTCAGAGAAAGATGAAAGCCAACATTCACTTAAGAAGACACCCAGCAAAAGTTAGCCAGATAAATATCTATAGCCAAATCCACAGGCCCTTATTGAGCAAACTCTGCTTAGTAGAGACCTGGTACGGGGAAGGGAGGCGGTCACGTACTGTAGACATGCACTGGTTTCCTGACTCTCTGCTCCACCGGACCCAGAGACACAAGGCAGGTCAGCTCTTGGTCACCGGTCTCCATGGCCCGAATGGTGGTGCTGGCCCACGCTGCATCTCCCTTCCAGGAGAAGAAGGGGCTCAGCTCCTGGCCTTCTAAGAACATTCGGAAGACAACTTCCTGGGCAGGAAACACCCTGGTCACCTCGCAGCTCATGGTCTCCGCCACCCCAACCTCCAGGAGTGAAGACACCCCGATCTGGGGACTCTGAGAGAATTCTGCCAAGGAAGGAAGAAAACGAAAGAAGGAAAGTTGTAAGTCACGTGTCACCTAGAACACCGTGGAAGGGAACAGCGCTGAGGGTGGATTAGATGGGGCGCAGTTACTCTCATCTCCTAAACCGGTGGGAACAGGGTCTCCAAAGGCCAAAACAGGCCCTAGGTTCTCCTCATGCCCGGACTCTGACTCACCAAAGATCCGGAGTTCCTTGATGGCTGACCTGCCATGAAGCGACCCCCCACCGTGAGGGCTCAGGTCCAGTTCTGCACTGCAGGAGAAATTGCTCCTGTCATTCTCCCGCTGGGCTCTGACATTGACAGTGACCTCGGCTCTTTGGGATGCCTTAGAAAAACTCCGGAAGTCCTTTCTGTGCAGTTCTCGGCCGTCCTGAAGAAGGGTAAGGGTGAGGCTCTGCAGGGGTGCCACACTAGGCACGTGACACTTCACTGTGAAAGCCTCATCCATGGCCACCCACTCAGGCTGCACGTCCAGGATCACCTGCTCTGGTGGCTCTTAAAGACAAAAAGACAAGCCTTGGTGAGGGGCCATTCACCTCCAGAAAGAAATGACATTGCAGAAGGTGACCACCACCCTTAAGGTTTCATGTGATAAGTTAGCCTTCCAGCTCTCTGTCCATCAAAGGTGGCCACGGCCTAGAACTGTGACAGCTAAAAAGAAGTCCCTTGCTTTGAATTTTCCTGCCATTCTGGAACATTCTCTCTCTTATCAGTGATGTTTCAGAGGCACGAGAAGCTTGGAGGAGGCACTCTTCCACTCATTCCTATCTTTACAACGCAAGATGGCTCCCTGTAGAACTCTGTTTACCAGTCCCGACACCTCAGAGCCTCCCTTTCTGTAGAGCAGCTCAGGAACTGCCTACACCACAGGCTTCTTTCTCTGACTACCCCAGCTGAAGACTGTCCTTCCTGCAAGCCCTGGTTATCCTAAGAGCTGGTGGCAAATAAGCCAGCACTAATCTTACACTTGTCTGGTCACTCAGAAACTCCCCATGTAGTCTGTGCATTCTCAAGGATGCCTCACGGCTAATGGTGGAAACTCAGAAGACAGCCTCTTCAAAGGCAAGAGACTTCTGACAGTATGGCTGAGTCTTTACCTGGGTGGGTGAAGGGTGTAATTCTTTCCTCTAATTCTTTTCCCCTGTCTAATTCCTCATTCCGCCAGGTGGAGGTAGTACACGCCTTTAATCCCAGCACTCAGGAGGCAGAGGCAGGTGGATCTCTGTGAGTTTGAGGCCAGCCTGGTCTACAAGAGTGAGTTCCAGGACAGGTACCAAAGCTACAGAGAAACCTTGTCTCAAAAAAGAAGGAGGAGGAGGAGGAGAAGAGGAGAGGAAGAGGAAGAAGGAGGAGGAGGAGGATGAAGAGGAGGAGGAGGAGGAAGAAGAAGAAGAAGAAGAAGAAGAAGAGGAGGAGGAGGAGGAGGAGGAGGAGGAGGAGGAGGAAGAGGAAGAGGAAGAGGAAGAGGAAGACGAAGACGAAGACGAAGACGAAGACGAAGACGAAGACGAAGAAGAAGAAGAAGAAGAAGAAGAAGAAGAAGAAGAATTTGCATCCCCCTCTCTTTTCTGGGCCTCCACCCTACTCACGGTACATGGTGATACGGAGCGCTGTGTCCTTCTGGACCCCTGCACAAGAGAAGAAGCAGTGCAGGACAGAGCTCTCTGTGATGTCCTCCAGGACAAACTCCTTCCACTGAGGCCCTTTGCCCAGCTGGCTTTTCCTGAAGAAGGTCTCGATTCCACTGGGCCCTGGGTCTGGGCAGGTGGTGCTGCAGTTGACGGTTAGGGACTGTCCAAATTCCACCAGGGCCTGATTTGGCCAAACAGACACTTCAAATATCTCTTCTGTGGTCTCTGAAATAAAGCACACCGATCAAAAACTCTGGTGAAGACCAGGAGATGCAGCACGAACAGAGTCCACTCTCTCCATCGGATCTAGGCTGGACAAGAGGGACCAGCTCAGGGATCTGGAGAATAAACCCTTTAATCAACAAGCGAGAGCCTTGGTCCCAGCTTCATCCCTATCTTTGTCCTGGGGACTAGATTTTACCACAGAGTCTAAGGAGGCATTAACAATCATGCCTGGGAAAGCTTCCCGAGGTCTTAGCAGCTCCCTGGGCTCAGCCACTAACACCCTGCTGGGGTCTCTGCGCTTCTACTGCCAAGCAGTATTTCTCTCGGATGATAGTGAAGGACCACCTTCAGTAGAATCGTGTGGAATGATTGTAAAACTGAAGAGCCCGGCTCCACCTTAGACAGAGTGACCACACTGTAGTGAGGTGGGACCTGGAAATAAGCCTGAGAACAAAGCAAGCCTCCTGTGAACCCTTCCATACACAAATCCACGGGAACTAACGACCCCAGGGAAGCCCCATGCTCACTCCTCTCCCATAGATTCTCTACATCCTCTCAGAGATTACTCCGCTCTGCTTTGCTATGCTGGGAAAAGGAATTTTTCAGTGTTCGCAAGTTTAGCCTACATTATGATTTGGATCTTAAATGTCGTCATGCTAGAAGCTTGTTGCCAGCCTGTGGCACTAGGGGAGGTGGTAGGACCTTTAGAAGGCTGGGCCAGTGGAGAGAGTCCTGCACATATGTCTATGTGCCAAGTGCATGTGTGGTCAGAAGAAGACGTGGATCCCCTGGAACAATACAAAATAGTTGTGAATGGCCACACAAGTCCTGAGAACCACGTCTAGGTCCTCTGCAAGAGCAATCTTGCTCTTAACTGCTGAGCCATCTCTCCAGCCCCAAGGAAAGTAGTTTTGAGATAGAGAAGGAGCTGGGGATGTAACTTACCTGGTCCATTGCTTGCCTAAAATTCACAAAGCCTTGCGTTTGATCCCCAGTATAAAACTGTCATAGTGGCATATGCCTACAAGCCCAACACTCAGGAAGTAGAAGCAAGAGGATCAGAAGTTCAAGGTCATCCTTGGCTACGTGGGAAATTTGAGGTCAGCCTGGGATATGAACCTTGTCTCTAAATAAATAAAATTTTAAACTTAAAAAATAAAATGACAGCAATAAAGCCACGGCGCTCACCACACGCACAGCCCATCACCTTCTGGCAGAGCCTGAGTGGATTGCTCAGCACAGCCCCCAGTGGATAGAATGGAGCCACTCCCAGTGGGTGGACCTACCGCTCCAGTCACCCTACCCTGAGAGAATCCCCCACAAGCATATGCAGAGACCCATCTCCAGGGTGACCCTAGATCCATCAGGTAGACAGCTGAGATTAACCACCGCCCCATCCCCCTCTGCACAATCAACCAGGTGTGTCCTGGCACACAGTGAGTAAAGAAATCTTTCTGGGTAGCCTCACCTGGACAAGGGGTCAAGGCCAGCAAGGTCCAGACACCAAGCAGAAGCATTTTCATTCTTGGGAGAAAGCCTAAAAGCTGGGGAAAGAAAAGAAATAATCCTAGAGAGATTTTTTTCTCGTTACATTTTCATAAAAATTTTATGTGTATGGGTGTTTTCCCTCTACATGTGCCTGTGCACCACATGCATTCCTGGTGCTGGTGGAGAACCATTAGATCCCCTGAGACTGGAGTTATAGATGTCTATGAGCCACTATATAGGTTCTGGGAAACAAACACAGGTCCTCTGCAAGAGCAAACAGTGCTCTTGACCTCTGAGTCATCTCTCTAGTTTGGAGAATATTTTTTAATTATTTATTTATTTATTTAATATTTATGTGTACAATATTCTGTCTGTGTGTATGCCTGCAGGCCAGAAGAGGGCACCAGACCCCATTACAGATGATTGTGAGCCACTATGTGGTTGCTGGGAATTGAACTCAGGACCTTTGGAAGAGCAGGCAATGCTCTTAACCTCAAAGCCATCTCTCCAGCCCCTGGAGAATATTTTTATAAATAAAAATGTACAAAAGGAAGCCATTGCTGTAGTGTCAGTCTGCACTCAAGCCCCTGAGCTAGAAGTAGGAGGATCAGGAGTTCAAGGTTATCAACCTTGAAGAATCAGGGGTCAGTCAACTACTTCATCAAAAAAAAAAAAAAAAAGAAAAGAAAAGAAAAAAGAACCGGGGAGGGCCGGCCTGGCCTATAGAACAAGTTCCAGAATAGCCAGGGCTACACCTGACTAAAAAAAAAAAAAAACTAAAGAAGACAAAATACATGTACCCAGGCAGTGGTAGCAGACTCCTTTACTCCAGCTCTCTGGAGGCAGAGGCAGGAGGATCTCTGTGAGGCAGCCTGGTCTACAAAGTGAGTTCCAGGACAGCCAGAGTGACATAGTGAGACCCTGTCTCGAAAATAGCAAAAAGATAAGGATGAAACCCCTGTATCCTGTATCAAGGAATCCCTTCAAGTTTAGTAAAAAAGACAAACTTAAAAAGATGTCTTTGTGCAATGCTGTAAGGGAAGGGTGAGGCAGGTCTGAGGGTACCCTCAATGGCAGAGTGCATCTCCACCACTCACAAGGCCCTGGTTCTTGTGTAAACATTCTAAATATTTTGTAAACTTTATATAAGATATAGAAAATATTGGTTGGGGGTATGGAGGACCTGAGTTCAAAACCCAAGCCGTCAAATGAAAAGCTGGACGTGGCGATGAAGTCTGTAGCCCCAGCCCTGAGAAACGTCAAGATGGAAAGGCTGGGACTGGCTGGTCAGGAGCCTAGCTCCAGGTCCAGTGAGAGACGCTGTTTCAAAGGAACAGGCATGTGTCAGTCAAACTGGTTGGCTTTTCTTGTAGTAGCTACTAGCATATATCTGTGCCTCAAAGTAGGCACGAGAAAACAGGGAGAAGCTGAGGCTGTTTTTGGTCACACACACACACCCCTACACCTGTGCCTTGTCTTTTCTTTCCTTCCTTTCTTCTTTTTTTTTCTTTTTTTGAGACAGGATCTTGCGCTATAGACCAGGCTAATCTGGAACTCTTTATCCCAGGCTAGCTTTGAACTCAGTACTCCTGACTCAGCTTCTCAAGTCCTGGATTAAAGGCATGAGCCACCGTACCTACCAGGTTCCCAGACACACTTGTCCGGTACTACTTCATGCCCCACTCCGATTTGCCTGCCAGCCCACAGCTCTAGTCCTTCCCGTTACTGTCAGCACACATACGATCTGATTCTGTTTAAATTCCTTTGTTTATTCTGTAAATTACATCCCAACTTAGAGGAATTGAACTGTTTTTGTTTTCGTTTCCCCCCTTTGGTTTTGTTTTTATTTTGAGACAAAGTCTCAGGTAGCAGGGGCTGGCCCTGAACTCGCTAAGTAGCTATGGATGACTTTGAATTCCTGATCTTCCTGCCTCCCCCATGCTGGGATTACAGGTGTTCACACACTCCAGCTCCTAGGCTGGAGGAGCCGACCTAACAGTGATGGGCTCCAGACTCTGGGATCCTCACCTTCCGTTTATATTCAAGGGTTTCATGCAGTTTCTCATAAGTAGGAGACACATTCTACCCTTTGCTTCTTCTCTGTGCCTGGGAGTCACCCCACTCCTCTGCACTGTTCATCTCTGTGTGAGGTCTACCTACCCTGACTGAGGTCTGCTCAGGCCTCAGCACCCACAACTTCAGTCCACGCTACTGGTTTCCTTTCCCATAGGATGCATTGCCTCTAACGCATTTATATCCGCCTGGCTCCGGAGTGTTACCAAGGAGAAAACCCAAATCGCCCCCCTAACTTATTTGTTCTCAGTTAACTTAAGAATCACAAGTTTGGAAGACCACACAGCTTAGCGATACAGAGTGAGTCTCCCGGTAGCTCTACTGTAGATTTTAGTGGTGACAGGTAAGCTGTGATTGGTTGCCTATGCTAATTTTTTTTTTTTTTTTAACATCCTGAAGATTGCTTCTGCTGAAAGCATTCTGCACTTCAGCCTCTGGGTGACTGGAGAGGATAAAGAGGCCCATCTCTGCCTTCAGACTTTAGCCAGGTGGGACCATTTGAAAACACTTTAGTCCAAAATTATAGTACACGGTTAATTTGACCTAGATCCCATCCTCCTTTAAGGTCACCTACAGCATCGGCGACTAGAATCATCAGACCATGAAATTAGCAGCAAGGCAGCCGAGGCATCACCTCGGACCCAGAAAACAGAATCACTACCACCTGGCCCCAGACCCCAACCTATTTCCCTTCCTTCATCTCTAACCCCTCGCTCCCTAGAGTTGAGAAGTTGATTTCACGCAGATCTTTGGCCACTAAAGATCTCTCTTGACACTGGCTACGGGGTGCAGTGGGGTAGTGGTATGCCAGGAACATTTTCCCAAGTTCCCTGAATTGTGTCTCTCTCCTTGGGACTGTAAGCACCATGAAGGCAGGGAGGGCTCTTTCTTTTATCCACTGCTGGGTCCCAAGAGACTGGAACGGCTATAGTCAGCAATTACCAGTAGCTGAACCAAAGAAAATATAAGCTAATACTGTGGGCACCAGCACTTCGATGGGTGACAAAAGGCTGGTAAGGTGGTTCCTTCTAGCTGGAAAAGGGGCGAACACACAACTGAACGTGAAGGCATTTAAAGGCAGACATTATCTAAAACATTTAAAAGATATGGGGGAAACAAACACTTCCAGGCGTGTTGGCGAACTCCCCCACCAACCGATCCTCTACTGGATTTCACTGGTAGAAACCAGCAAGAACCCAAGTAAACCAAATAGGACCCAAATCCTCACTGAGTCGGAGCTGTCCGCTTGTCCCTCTTGCCACACTGGCTGCTCTTCGATGCTCGGGGACCACAGACTGAAGAGCTGAGTCGTCACCGCGCTCGAAACCGCCGCGCGCTCCGACCGTTGGGTCCGCGCTCCTGGCGGGGGCGCTCTGCGCCGGTGCTGCGCCCAGGAGTCCCCAGATCTGCCCGGAAACTCGTGACGCTCACTCAGATTCGCAACAGGGTTGGCTGAGAGAAGACGCGCCAACAAGTAGCTTTAAAGACAGGATGGGCTCTATCTTAAAAGATTGAAGAGTAGGGAAGCCGGCCCCCTCTTCGAAGAGAATGCAGATTTGACTCAAGACAATCGCTGCTGAGCCAGGCTTGGTGGTGCAGAACCATAATCCTTGTTTGTGGGAGGTGGCGGCAAGAGAAATATAAGATCATTCCTTGACTACAGGGGAGTTCTAGGCCCTCATGTGTTATATAAGACTCCGATTGATTGATTGATTGATTGATTGATTTAAAGCTGATCGTTTCTAAAGAATAAAAGAAATGATGGTTGTTTCTTTTTTCTTTTTAGACTTCTTTATTTATTATGTATACAACATTCTGCCTCCATGTATGCCCGCACGCTAAAAATGGGCACCAGATCTCATTACAGATGGTTGTGAGACACCATGTGGTTGCTGGGAGTTGAACTCAGGACCTCTGGAAGAGCAGCCAGTGCTCTTAAGCACTGAGTCATCCCTCCAGCCCCAAGAAATGATGGTTGTAAAGAAAGGATCTTTTAAAATAAATTTATTTTTATTTAGGCGTATGGGGGTGTAAACCTTATGTATACAGATGCGTTCAGAGGTCAGAAGTGGGCACCAGATCCCCTGGAGCTGGAGTTATAGGCATTTGTGAACCACCTCAAGGGAACTGAAGGTCCTGTGGGAGAACAATAAGTGCTCTTTTTATTTTAATTTGGTTTTTTTGAGACAGGGTTTCTATGTGCAGCCCTAGGCATCCTGGACCAGGCTCTCTGCCTCCTGAGTGCTGGGATTAAAGGCCTGCATCAGCACCGCCTGGCCTGTAAGTGCTCTTAACCATTGAGCCACCCCTCCAGCTCCAGGAAAGGATCTTTGAACAAAACCAAAGAAAATCTTTCCCCCTTGGCTGTTCATCTGTTGGTTTGACTTGAATGCAGAAGTTAGGCAGCTCCAGTCTTCCTTTGAGTGATGTGTCTCCTGAACTCTAGAGCTTGAGTTTACCTCAAAATTCCGAGCTCCCCAGCTACTGTCTGGTTCCTTTCTCCCAGGGTATGTGTGCCAGATAGTAATTCAATGGGACTTTGGTAAGATTCAAAAAGTCCTTTTTAGCCCACTGACCCTAGAGTGTGTGTGTGTGTGTGTGTGTGTGTGTGTGTGTTGTTACTGTTTGAAACTGGCTTTCATATAACCCAGACTAGCCTCAACTTCCCAGTGTTCCAGAAACTGACCTTGTGGTGATCCTTTTGCCCCTACCTCCCAAGTGTTGGGATTATAGGCATATATCACTACCCGTGTCTCCCCTCCCCTCCCCCATCCCTACACCCCTCCCTCCACTTACAAAATGGCCTGAGTGCTCAGAAAAGCCTAGAAGGCAGAGACAGTGAGGATGGCCATTGGGGGTTGGGGATAAGAAGTCATGGAAAATTCCAGAGGCAGTGACATTGGAGTTAGCCCTGAAGGATAAACTGATGCTTGCCCAGCAGAGAATTAGAGAAGAGCAAGAATGTATTTAATGACCATGAATTGGGTTAGTTTTGTACCACATATGGTTTAGGGGGGCATGGCAGGCACAAAGCCTCTGACTTTGAGGAGCTATAGTTTCTACAAAAGGAAACCACAGCTATGAAAGTGGAAAATGAGGTGTGTTCAGGGAAGGTGAGCTGAGCATGACCTCCTAGGAGAATATTTGGGCAGTTGGTAGAAAATAAAGCTAGCTACTTGTGGACAGGTAGTAAAATCAGCCATGCCACACTAAGCCCTTTAGACATGCTCTTCCGTAAGGTAGTGGCTTTTAGACAGTTTAGAACCGTGGGGCCCTTTACAGGAGACCCTGTGGTCACTCAATACACACAGCAAGGCAGAGCTGCTTGCATAGTAGGATGGAAGGGAAGGTGGAAAGCACCCCACTCTCCTAGCTCAAATTCAGCTCGAAGCTCCTGAGGCACTGCTGAGAAAGCCAGAGAAACACGTTTTGAGGTTCCCTGCTTAAGATAAGTAAGAGCACCTGCGTTAGTGGAAGGACGTGCTCTGGTTTGAGGTCTGGGGGTAAGGGGAATGCCAGGGAAGATTGGGTAGGATAACCAATGGGTGGGGCGGGGGGAACAGCTGGATAGGAAGGAAGACACGCTGAAGATCCTAAAAAGATTTGGTAGAACACAGAACTCAGTAACACAGAATGAGGGGGAGGAGAGAGAGGAGTGGAAGGTGATTGCAGGTGGCAAGGGTGTAAGTGCCCCAGGCTTTCCTGGTTGTAGTCTTTGTGTCTGCTCAGTTACTTGGGTTACATCCTTCCTTGGCAGTCACTAGCCAGCAGAACGTGCCTGGCGTTTCGCCGTGTCCTTGTGTTCTTCACCAGGACAGACACAGACGAGAGGAGGCCAATACAATGACTGCGAAACACAGATTTTGAGCACGTGGGCTTAAGTGACTTTTTGAGTGTCTGTTGGGAGCTGGAGATACGGATCCGAAGCCCTGAGGAGAGCTGGGGGTTGGACGTAGAGATTTAGGGTCATTGAAGGGATGGAGAATGAGTGTGTCTAGATACAGTAACAAAAAGAGGGCTAGAGATAGAAATCCAGACAGCAAGGGTATTTAGGACAGAATGGGAGCCAGAGTAAGTCAGCGATGTCAGTAGAGGTCCCTGCATGGTTGCTCCCCTGCAGTCACGGGCTGTTTGTTAACTACCCCAGTAGCTCTGGGTACAGATTCCTCCACCAGGGATGAACCACACTGATGCCCAGTTTCTACCTTGTATGGGAGAACAGATGGTAGACTTGTGCCCTAGACTCTGACGTCAAGAGATTGTAAGAGTGCTCTGAACTGGCTGTAGCCATGAAACTCATTGCTTCCTTTCCCCTCTGCTTTTAGACTTTTTTTTTGAACAGCTTTAGATGTGCAGAAATATAGAACAGAGTTTCCTATTCCTTCCAATTTTCCAATTATTAACATCTTTTATTGGTGTTGTCTACTTGCTACAATTAATGAAGCAGTGTTCATGTGTTATCGTTAAGGCATATAGTTTACACTGAAGTTCTGTGCATTACATAGTTTTGTGGGTTTAAAATTTATTTGTTTTATGTGTATGAATGTTTCATCTGCATGTATATGAGCATACCATACATTGTGTCAGAGCTTTGGGGGCTGGAGTTATAGATGATTGTGAGCCACCGTGCAGATACTGGGAGCCCAACCTGGGTCCTCTAGAAGAGCAGCCAGTGCTTTTAACCACTGAGCCATCTCTCCAGCCAGATTTTTAAATGCTTGAATCTAAGCTGTTCCTGCCACCATGCCTTTTCCCCACCATCACGGACTCTGAAACCATAAGGCAAATCAAATGCTTTCTTTTTTTAAAAAAATATTTATTCATTTATTATGCATTCAATATCTGCCTACACGTGTGCCTGCAGGCCAGAGAGGGCACCAGATCTCATTACAGATGGTTGTGAGCCACCATATGGTTGCTGGGAATTGAACTCAAGACCTTTGGAAGAGCAGGCAATGCTCTTAACCACTGAGCCATCTCTCCAGCCCCCTCAAATGCTTTCTTTTATAAGTTGTATCGGTCACCACATTTTGTCACAGCAATAGGAAAGTAACTATAATACAAACAGAAAGCAGCCTTAACTTCTGAGCTATTTCTCTGGCCCTACCACATCCTTTTTAATGGCTGGATGACACCGTTTCATGTGTGTTATCTGATTCTCTATTGCCAAACACTGATGCTGCTACACGCTATGAAGAACACGCTAGGACGGTAACAGATAGCAAGTCAACCTTTGCGGACCTGGCAGGGAATGACTCACTTGCCCGCGCTCATGCTTGGCTTTCGTGCTCTTTGAGCAAAGCATCCCCCCTCCTTTTTGGAAACAGATCTTACGTGCATTATGGAGCCAATAATGAAATCGAACCTCCTCCGCTCCTGCCTTCACCTCCCGAGTGCTGAGATTACAAACGCGCACTACCACACCCAGTGTTATGCGGTGCTGGGGATGGAACCCTGGACTTCATGCGTGCTAGGCAAGCACTCTGCCAGCTGAGCTACCTCTCTAGCCCAGAGCAAAGCAGCATTACAGAACCGACAAGGTAGCTTAGAAACCAGAAGAAAACATCTGATAGTCACTCTGATGGAAGAACCAAAGCAAGTCTGTAAACACTACAGGTCATCTTTTCCTCCCAAAAGTCTTTCCAAACTCCATGAGCTTCTCTTTGTCACTGCAGCCCCGAAGCAAGTTGATGTTTCTTGTGGTATTCCAGGCTAAGAGGTTGAACTCCTAGGACTGAAGACCAGGCCTTTACACCAGTGTCCTCCGTGGGCAAGCTCTATACTCTGGATCATTTGCTGTTAGGCTGTGATCACAGAAGTGGTTTTTATTATACCCTCGATGTTTCAGCAACACTGCTTTGATTCTCATCCTGAACTGCTCAGAAGACTTTATCAATCCCTTTCATCCATTAAAGATTTCTGTTTCTCTGTGGTATCTTGTGGACATTCATTCATTCATTTATTCATTGTGTGTGTGGTTTTCCCAGACAGGATTTCTCTGTCTCTGTCAGACCTGAAATTCATTCTGTAGACCAGACTGGCCTTGAGCTCCTAATGATCCAAGTGTTTCTGCTTCCTGAGTGCTGGGATTAAAGGTGTGTGCCACCACTGTTGTAATCTGCTGGCCTGGTCTGTCATCTGAGTACCCTGTTCCTTTAAGAGACAAGCTCCGCCCACTCCCACCCGTCACCTCCCCTTCTGCCAAGGCAAGAGGATCTCCCATCTCCTCTCCAGTTTTCTCTCCCCCACTACCTCTCTCTCTCTCTCTCTCTCTCTCTCTCTCTCTCTCTCTCTGTCTGCCCTTCTTCTGGAAAGGCAGCTTCTGCCTCTCTCCCTTCGCCC